TGGTATTGATAACTCATAAAAGCAAAGAAAATCCTAAACATACTAATCAAATAGGAGAGGAATGAATTACCAACTAAGAAATAACATAAAAATAATAATCTACCTAGAAATACGAATGAAACAAAGATGAGAAGCTAGGGAATCGGGGATAATCAATTCAAGTTCTACTCGCACAACGGGACATGAAGCATTCTATTCTAGATTGACGCTCTCGCTTAAACATCTAGCGGTTCGCTCCCAATAACTCTTCGTAACAAGGGATTGAACATAGACGAACAAATTCGAGCATACGACACTGCCAATTATCCCGATCCCAATAACTTTTCGTAACAAAGGACGGGTCATCGACAAGCACGTATCTCAATCTAAAACACATAGATGATTCAGTTATGAAATTATCTACCTCATAAGAGCCTAGGCCTACGACTTCTCCCCTTTCGGTTCTAAAAATCGCTAATTTAACTAGAAGGTGATTAATCAACTAGTCATAAGAAATTGACAAATTGTAACTTGACAAATTAACATTCAATTGTTCTCAATCACAAGATCTAAGTGCCACCATTCGATTACATCAATCAATCAAGCATAAATAAATCAATTCCTAATCAATTCTACTCTCATAAGCATGAACAATTCAAGCCCAGCAGATGCGAATTAAACAAGAACAATCATTCCTCTATCCCTAGCACTGAGATTTAGCTACGTAAAATTAATTCAACACACATAATCAATTCTCCTAATTCAACCATTATTCATAAATTAAACAGAAGAGAAAAGAAACTTACGATTAATCTCAAATCCAGGTGTTGAATATCAGTTACAAGCTTAATCCCAAAAACCAGAATAATTTCTAGATAAAAGATGGAAAATAAGGATTAAGAGAAGAAAAAGAACAAAGAAGGCCCTCGGCCTCTTTCATTGTACCGAAAAAAAAAAAAGAAAAAGAATGAAGAAGAAGAAGAAGGAAGGGAAGAGAAGAAGATTTCGTGTTTTCTCGGGACCTAGGGCTTTCACCCGGTCGAGAGATTCTCCCAAATTCTGATCGCCATCCCATATTTATATGAGTCGTAGGTCAAGGCATGAGAAAATCATCACGGCCGCGGAAAAAATCTAGTGGCACGGAGTGTTGGGCGCGCGCGTGCGCAGGGGTGCTGTCTGCCGCGCCGTGCTGGGCGCCGCTGTTTGTAGTATTTTGGGGTAGTTGGTAACCGAGTTACCCAGACTCGGGTCGTTCTCAAAGGAAGGCTATTCGGACACGGATTCAAGCAACGATTGACGCATACAAGAAAAGAGAATAAAGATCCTAAACACTCTACTCGCAATTTGGGGGTTTGGATTAAGTACGAACGCAATTTAAACTAAGACAAAAGCAAGATTCACAATTTATCGCAAGCAAGACCTCAAATTGCAAGAAAAAGAAAAATAAAGAGAAAAAGAACAAGGTACTCCTAGACCCGAGATGGAAAGAAGGCACTCGTAGGTTCAGGAATATGGAACCAAGCGAAAGTCACTCGTGATCAATTAACCTCTCAATCAATTCTCGCTCACGCAATCAATAACAATATCACATAATCCCTAGCCTACGAGGATGGTAGCATAATCGACTCATGGATATGCATATCTTAACCCTAGAATAACTCAATAAGTAAAGACAAGCAAGACTAACGAAATCATGAACCTTAAGCGAAGTCTCCACGTCTCTAATGCATCCATGAGAAGAAATAAGCCAAAAAGTTGTGATCTTGATGGAGAAATATTACAATTAAAAATAGGGTCTTGGAGCCCTTAGAGAGAGAAAGGAAACTAGAAAGAGAAGAGAGCAAAAACTAAAAAGGAAAATTTAGCAAATGAGGAATTCTCCAAAAATACAAAGCATAATGTCTATTTATAGCTACACCACAAACACACACTAAAACACACATATTAAAAGAGATAACTCGCGAGTTAAGGAGAACTCGCGAGCTAAATCTTGATTTTCGCGGGCTATTTCCGCTAGCAAAGGAGAACTCGCGAGGTAGAGGTGATTCGCGGGCTAGGTGAGGATTTTCGCGGGCGCGGAATTTGGCTTCTGCAGCATGTAGCTAACTCGCGAGTTGCAGCTAACTCGCGGAATTGCGTTCGCGGGCGCGAAATTTGAAGACTGTCCTTGTAGCTACCTCGCGAGTTGAGTGTATCTCGCGGAATGGATTTCGCGGGCGCGGAATTTGGCATTGGCTTGACTTTTGATGCTCGATTCGCTCTAACTTTTCGCACACAACTCCGATTCGCACGAAACTTGGACCAAAATTCTCCTCATTGAATTCTCTTCGTCCCAGTATGGCTTGGTTGGATTTTCTGGGTTGGATGGCTCGGTCGGATCGGACGGCTCATCTACTCGTTCTCGACACGTTGGACCTATTTAACACCAAAACAAAGGATAAAACGCGCAAACACACGAAAGCACTCTAAAATAATAAAAATACACAAAATACGATAAAATGGACCGGTCGAAAATAATGACAAAAAACACAATAAACAATTCCCCCACACTTAACTCTTTGCTTGTCCTCAAGCAAACAAAATAACATGTAGTTCGAAAGGAGAAATCGAGCGGTCCAAGATTAACAAACATGCATCATGTAACTCTCATTATCATGCGGTTATTCACATAACTCAACTCAAATCCGAGGGTACGGTTCCCACATATGAACTCATCAAAACAAAAACAATC